GCGCGCGACGGCGCCCGCCGCGCGGCGGCGGCGGCGCGGCCCCTCTGCCGGCGGCGCGCGGGGCCACAGCTGCTCTTGCCCTCGTCTTCGGCGTCGCTGCCCCCCTCGCCAACCTCGGCTCCCTCGTCGGCTACCTCGACGCCGCGATCTGGGTGATCTGTCATCACATCGTCCGCACCGAACGCCGGCCACGCGGCGACGCTCACGCCGCTGGCGCTGCCGCCGCCGCGGCCGCCGCTGCTCAGCCAGCTCGAGGGCAGAGCCGCGGGCGCGGATGCCCATTGCGGCGCCGGCGCCGGCAGCCCGCCCGCGAGGCCGCCCGCCGCGCAAGCGCCGCCCTCGCCGGCGGCGGCCGTCCAGCTGGTGGCAGCCGAGCTGAAGCTGCGCTCAGACGCGCCGAGCCCGAGGCCGAGGCCGAGAGCCGGGGGCTTGGGGCCGCAGCCGGGGGCGAGGGCGCCGGTGCCGGCTTCCCCAGCGGCGGCCGCCGTCTGCAGTGCGCCGCTGAGGCCGGGGACACAGGCGCTGGAGCCAGAGCCGACGCTTCGCAGTTCAGGGGCCGACCCCCAAATCTCGTCGAGCGCGGCCGACGGCGCGGTCGTCGCCACCTGCGCCGCCGCCGCCGCACGCGCGCCGCCGCCGCGGCGGCCGCCGCCGCCCCCGGAGCTTGTGCGCGCCGCGCGTGCCGAGGCCGACGCAGCGCGCTTGGGCGGCGGCTCGGAGCTCGCCGCTGCGCCGCTGCCGCGGTCGTCGTCTTCGCCGTTTCCGCTGCTGGCCTCGGCGGCGGCCGCCAGGGCGGCTGCCTGGGCGGCAGCAATGATGTCATCGGCGCTGTCCAGGCCGAGTACATCCTTCAGTTTCTGCAGCGCCGCGTAGTTGATTCGCGAGATGTAGTGTGGCAGCTGCCGCTCGGCGCACTCGCAGCCAAAGTTCACGGGTCCCGTTGGGCCGATGAGCAGCAGCGCGGCGCAGTCGTAGGCCTGGGAGGGGGTGGGATTGTGGAATTGAATGTGTGCGTGTGTGTTTTGTATTCACTTGTGTGTTCAAGGGGAGAGAGCGACAGAGTGTGTGTGCGTGTGTGTGTGTGTGATTGTGCACCCTCCCGCATCGCGCGTGTTCTGTCCAGGGAAGCTACATGTGCGAGTGAAAAAGCTCAGGATGGTGCGAGTGTAGGGAAGGGGGAGTGGGGCATGTCGGGCATCAGGGGATGCACAGGTTGGCGGGCTCAGACGGCGGATCAGGAGCTGCAGTGGTGTGGGGTGCAGGAGCTGCAGGGTGACTTGACAGTGTGCCGCTCATCCCCCACCCCTGGCCCGAGACCCGCTCGACCTGCTGCTGCGCACCTGCGCAGCCTCCTCCTTGTCCTTGAACCTTGGGGTGGGGCGGGGAATGGGCGGCCAGCAGGGGCGTCATCGTGAGGGGTGGGGGCAGGTGCAGGTGCCGTGTTGGGAAGGAGGGGGAAGCTGCCAGGGTCACCCGCGTGCTATTGAGTGACGGTTGCCGCATCAAACCCCCAGCTGCCACGGCTTCGGGCCGCGACTGGTAACGGGGCCCCGCCTGCGCCGTCGCTGCTCGGGGCAGGCGATCCAGACACCCGCGGGGCTGCAGGCTCACCGGCCGACATGGTGTTGCTTCGCCTTGCAATTGACACGCACTCTGCGCAACCATGGTTTGAAACAGAGTTTTTACAGGCTTTAAACAGGGGCACAAGGCGCGAATGCGCTGCCATGTGGGAAGGACAGCATGGCATAAGTGCAAAGCACGTAGTGGGGGCCTCATACACATGCTGGGCGGCGAGGCGCTGTCTCAACCCAGCGTGGCTGACTGGTGGTGAGCAGTGAATTCTCGCTGCCGACGGCGACGCCCCACGCACTCTGCCGAAGCCGCGCCCGGCATGCCCCATGCGCCCATCTTAATCGAGCCATACGTACCTCCATGTTTGTGTGATCTTGTCCCAAGTCAGTCCCGTGTAACTGCTCTGCCGCATCTGTGGCGCCACCTCCGCCCCAGCGCGGGAGCGCGGCGTTTGTGAGCCCATGTGATGGCCCTGCCGTCACGTGGCACGGTCCAAGTTTAGAAGGCGACTTTTAGAACCAAATGATTCGCTGTTGCACGCGGTGCATGCGCTGTAATGAGGAATGCGAGACGGGTGCGAGATCTAGTGTAAGCGGTGCCGCGGGCTGTTCGTGACGACGGGCCTATCGAATGAAATTGTCGTCAGTGCGGCATTCTTTGCAGCCGGCACCGAAAGATGAGAATGTCGCTCGCTCTGACCGTGCGGAGAAGCGACAACAGAGAGTGATGTGACAGCGAAGGGTGTCTGGGAGGAAGCTTCACATATGTTTTGCCACGAGCGAGTGATTATGGTTCTGCCTGAATGTGTTGCCAAACAGCATGGGTTACCCGCAGCCACCTGACGCGCCCACATGCCGTTGAACGCGGCTGCACGCACGGTAAATCCCAGGGTACATGGTTGGCGAGATGTGATTTACATCCTAGTTCGCACAGGCTTCACGCCCTGGAGCGCCCGGTAATAGTGCTCTGCGGCGCCCGCCCACGTACATGCAGTGCTAGTGCAGTGTGCCCGCCACCTGCGTCGTGCGCCATTAACAACCAGCTCTCAATCTCTAACATCTAGACCTTTTGAGGTGTGCGCGCCGCCTCCGGCCCACGCCGTGCGTTGGTCGACCCCCGCGCTGCGCCTGGGCCAGCGCTGACCTCGGGTGCACGTCGATGCAGGCGGGGCGGCGTTGCCTCGCTCCTTCCCAGGTGTTGCCCGCAACGTGCCTGCAAAGTGAGTGGAGCTTGGCATGAGTAACCAGGAAACACCCAAGCGCGGCGGCGCGGGGCGCCCCGGCCTGCCCCCATTCATTGAAGGGCCCTCCTGCGGCAACAAAAAGCTGCCGTGCGCGCGCGCCCCCACCTGATTTAGACGACCCTGCCTGCCGAAACGGCGCCGTTGCGCCAAGAGGGGGCGGCCAGCGGGCAACCGCAGTGCTTTGCCCCACTGTGCTCACAGACACCGATGTCCCTGGGGCGTTAGCCAAGTGTGAATTGGCACATCGAACGGTTGTGTTGGGTTGGTCATCAAACTCCTGGTGTTATATCGCCAGGGGTAAACAAGAGGGGGCAGGGAGAGAAGTGTGCGCGGCGAGACCGACGCAGCCAAGGCACACATGCCCATGCACCAGTGCCTGGCAACCCCACTCGTATCGGTCGCGCACCTGCGCAGCGCCAACGCCGTGCGCAATGCTCCGGACCGTGCGCCTGTCACGCCGCGGAGGAATATGTGCTGCCGCGTGCACGCACGCCTGGTCGCTGGCGGCGGCGCTGCGCCCGCCGTCGTCACCGCGGCCGCTGCGGGCCGCCAGCTGCAGCCGCACGCGGCCGGCCGCAGCCGCAGGTCTGCGGTCATCACCAGTGCGTGCACAAGCCGCTACTGCCGTATGCGCCGCCGGCCGTCCTTCGCCGCAAACACAAACTTCTTGTAGCGCAGCGCCACCGCGTTGTCGCGCGCCGCCCGCTCGCCAGCCGGCGCCAGCGGCGCCGCCGAGAAGTCAAGCCGCACCTTCCCACTTGTGCCGAAGCGCCCCTCCACGGCGCCGGCCTCGCCGCGGGCGGTGGTCACGGCAGCGCCCATGAATGGGCCGACATCGGTCTCTTTCTTGAACAGGCCGCGGCAGATGGCGTGGGAGCCGTCGGGGGCGATCCGCTCGATCGTGCCGCACCTCTCCTTTGGCTGCGGGGAGGTGTGTGTGTGTGTGTCAGGGGGGTGGGGGTGCGCATTTTTCCGGAACAGAGACAGACTGCAAAGCAACACGCTTGGCGGTGATGCATGCAGGACGCCCACAGCTGGGGATTGATGCGCCTCTCCCTCTGCTGGGAGATGGCTGGCGGCGCTCCGGATCCGAGGCTCCCGGCGTACGAGACCCAGGGGTTTGAGTGCCCCCCTCGCGGCAGACGCGCCTCAACTTTGCAGCCACCCATCCACCTGAAGCTCAGCTCAGCCAAACATGACTGCGCACCCGACCCAGCTAGCCCCCCACTCGCCAAGCCCGCACGCGTACGCAACAAAGAAACTCGCACACTCGCGCCCAGCTGCGCTTACTTTGAAGACCTGCAGCCGCGCCAGCTGCGAGGGGTCCCCAGTGTCAAGCGGCGACACGATGCGGCCGTAAAAGGCCAGGCGGCACGACCCACCCTGGGAATCTAGGTCCAGGCGTGCCCCGATGACCGCAGAGTCCTAGAGTTGAGGGTTCCAAGGCGGTTTTGGTCGGTTTGCAAGTTCAAACGGTTGGCTTGCACGCCCTGGCGGCGGCAGGGTTGGTCGGCGCTCGGGCAGGGAGCCAGCGGCAGAGGCGACCAGGCGGTCGGCCACAGGATGCTGCCGCCGCCGCCGCCGCCCCCGCCTGCCCCCTCACCGAGGGGGCCGTCAGGGGTTGGTCAAACTTCAGGAGCGCCCACTGCGGCCCAAAGTGCACCGCCGCGTCGGCTGGAGGGCCCTCCGCTGCAGCCGCTTGGAGCAGCTGCTGGTCGTTTTGGCCCTGAATATGGGGTCTGCCCTCCAGACCGTACAGCTGGTCCTGCGTCATGGACAGACGCGCACATGGAAAATGGGCACAGGTCCACCAATCTTCAAAGCTATGGGCGTATTCCTCGTGGGGTGCAGCTGCGGGCGCGGTACCGCGGGCTGAATGCAAGAGAGCACACAAGAGCTCGCCACCTTAGCAGATAGGCAAGACAAGACGCCACGAAGCAGCCCTACAAAAAACCCTAGCCGCACTGGGCTCGGTGAAGCATGGCTGCCATGCAAGCGGGCAGGCCCGTTTTTGTGTGACGTAACATCGGGGCTTTCACCTGCCACGCGTACTCCTGCTCCCAGTCAAACGCCTCTGCTGGGGGAAGATGCAGGGACATGGCCTCCAGGCTGGAGATCATCTGCTGAAGCGCATCTGCGAAGCGGCGATGAGATTGGCTAGATCAGGCAGACGAGCAGGCCAGCTCCCCCCCCCTGGCCAGATCAGGCCAACAGGGTCAGGAAGACGCACCGTTTGGCAGATCAGCCAGAAAGAGGGAGCGGGATGACTTGTGCTCGAATGCCCTGACGCATGCATGGATGTGGGCATTTCAAGGGCCACGCATCTCGGGCGCCCGTGGCTGCACGGTTCGCCCCCCTGCAGCGCTCCCCGCCCGCCAGCCACGCGCACACCTTCCTGAGTCCCGCCCCCGCCGTCTGGCAGGCCGAAAAACGTGGCCTCTGCCATCACTGTCTCGTGGCCCACGTTGACGTGGTACTTGACCTTCCCAGGAACAGGGCCTGGGGCAGAGGGGAGGACAGGGACGCAGGGACGCGAGGATGGGGCCGCGGACGACACTGCCGCAAACAGCACAGGCAGCGAGAGCCCGGAGAGAGCGCCCACAGCCGGCAGGCCGGAACGGCGAGCGTGATGGAACAGGAGGGAGCGCTGAGCAGTTCATTGAGAGGAGGAGCAAGCAACCGCGCAGGGAGCTGCCCGCCGCTTGCGGCAAAGTCTGAATACACCAGACAGGCGCCCTGCTGGGAAAGCCGACCAGGCGCCCCCCCCGGGGTGCATTCCAGAGCCTTGCACGGCCCAAAAAGCCCCCAGCACGCACCGTCGAAAAAGCGGACCTTCTCGACCGTCGCCACCGCGCCGCAGAACGCGGGCACGCTGCCTGGCGCCGCGGCGAGCCCCCTCTCCATGAGCTTTGGGTCGAGCTGCGTCACGAGCAGCGCGGCACGGTCGCCCTGGGCGGCGGCGCGGGCGGGGCGCCTGAACATCTGGATGGACTTGACCTGGAGGTCCGGACAGAGCGAGTTTGGGGGCCGTGGGTGCATTTGGCGGACCGTGTGCAAAGTTCTAGGTCTTGAACTGAGCGCAAGACGAGAAGTGGCTGCATGTCTGAGGTCACTGCAAGCTGGCCGCAGCAGGCGCCTTGCCGGCGCGTCCATTGGCCCCTCAGCGGCTGCAACGCTGCGCGCAGTTGGTCGCCTGTCCGCGCCGGGGCGTAGCGCCGGCGTGCCTGGCGGCTGATCTTGAGGGCTGGCAGCTCTATGGTGTCATTGACGCTGACGCCGCCCTGTGATGTGGGAGGGCACGAGAGCACACCGTAATGTGATGCTGCGAGGGCTTGGGCGAAAGTGCATGGGAAGCTTGATATTGAGGATGCTACCTCGGATAGAGGCGGCGGCAGAAGAGAGTCTGAGCACAGCCCAGGTCCACTGCAGGCATGCGCAGCTCGCGCGGCGCGCGCGGCCCGCACGCTTGGCCCCGCGTCACCTGCAGCACAGTGCCGGTGAGCACCGTGCCCTGCCCCCTGATGGCGAAGCAGTGGTCGACCGCAAACAGCAGCGGCGCGCCCGCCGCCGCCGCGCGGGGTGCAGCCATCCCCAGCAGCGCCCCCTTGAGCTCCTCAATGCCCTCCGCGCCCGCCGCGGCGCCGCCCGCCGCCGCGCCGTCGGCGCCGGCGCATGCGCCGGGGCGCGCGCAGACGGGCACCATTGGGGCACCCGCGAAGCGGGTGGAGGCGAAGGCGGCGCCGAGGCGCTTCTGGGCCTTTTTGATGGCTTTGGGGCGATCTTGCTCTGGGATGAGGTCCGTTTTGTTGAGCGCAACCACCAAGTGCTGCGCCGCCATCTCTCCGACCACCAGGCACTCGGCCGTCTGCGCTTGGAGGCCTGGGGGAAGCAAGGGAGTGGGCCATGAGGGGTGGGAAAGGGGCACTCGTGGTGCTGCAGGTGCTGCCGATGCGGCTGTCGCCGCCGCTGCCACTTCTGCTGATGCTGATGTGTGCTTTGTCGCACAGACGCGCGCACACACACAGGCACATGCTCGCACGCACACAAAAACATACAGGCGCACGAGCACACATGCGAGAGAGCGCTCTTGCACATCCACCACCCCAACCTTCCCCTGCTCAGCCGCCCACCCTTTGTGATGTCCACTACCAGCACCATCATATCAATGATCCGGGCACCTGGGACAGGGTGGACGGGCAGATATGAAAGAGCTGGCAACTGCACCTGCGTCGATGCGAGCAGGAGGTGACCACGCTACCCGGCATGCATCGCAGCGATCCCCCCTGCAGGCGCGGCCACACACCCCCGATGATGGTGCGGATGAGGGACGCGTGGCCCGGGCAGTCCACCAGCGTGAACTGCAGCTCGTTGTAGGGCAGGTGCGCCAGGTGGCGCGGCAGCGGCGCGGCGAACGCGCTGAAGCCGAGGTCCAGCGTGATGCCGCGCTCGCGGCTCTGCGGATGCTTGTCGAGCGCCGCCGTGGACAGCGTCGATGACAGCGCCGCGACTGCGAGGTTGGACGGGCGCAGCGGCGGCGCAGCGGCGGCGCAGGCTGTCCTTGGCCAGGCCGGCACGCAGCGGCGGCAAGCGCTAGCGGGGCAGTGAGCGCGGTCATGTCTGCGCAGTCGCCTGGCGCTCAACCTCACCTAAACTCGTCTTGCCGCTATCCACATGGCCGAGAACACCCACATTGATGTTGAGCACTCGGTGCTCGCGGGGCTCCGCCATTACGGTATTGTTCTATCGGCGAGATCAAGACCTGGCTCGGGCTGTTGTACAGTATAGAATGATGTGACAGACCGATGCCCCACCAATCACAAGGAGTTTTATGCAGATATGTACACAGCAGCGGCCAGGGCCAGCCACTCATATGACTCAGTGACCAACAGTGGCTTTGGGTGTGCTGGCGTGTATCGCACAAAGGCGTGTATCGCACAAGCGCTTCGCTGTCCTGCAGCTGCAGCCCAGCTGAATTTTACTCTGCGCGGTAGCTGGGGAGCACAGCCATCATGCGGGGAGAGGGCTCCATGCGGCAGGCAAGGTAATTGCTGCGCTGCCAGTGCGTATGAAACCCGCAGCCGGCGCACTGGCGCGCAGCCGCCTTTTTGGCCTCGCAGCCCTGATTCAGAAGGTACTGCTGCGGCAAGGGCTCATCACTCATACACACACTACCGCTTGTAACTCGGCAGCCGCACGCCAGGGTCAAAGACAGTCGGGTACGACGTCCCGCCGGGCGTGGGCCGGACGGGCGGCCAGCACCACTCGTCGGCGCTCTCGCCCAGCACCTCCCGCAGGTTGTTGCACACGCCTGCGCAGGGTGCGAAAGGGCACAGCCTGCAGTTGGTGGCTGAACAGAGGAGCCGGTGGGGGCCACAAACGCCCCGAAATCAGCTGCGAGCCCCTTACAGGCCCCAACCAAAAACATTTTGGCTTGCCGCAGCCAAATTCTATCCTCGTATTCATGTGCCAACTGGCACCCGCGCTACACAGCGCCGCGGCTGGGGACGCCGCAAAAGCTGTCACAGAAGGGACACCAGACCCTGCGCGGGCCTCACCTATGTCGTACGGATGCGCCCCTCGCGGCGCCCCAGCCAGCGGCATCGCGGAGACCAGCTGAGCCGTCACGCCCTCGCGCCACTCAATAGTGGTCTTGTTGGTGAGCACCATGCGCACGTGAAACGACAGCAGCGACGACAGCGCGACCGCGGCCGGCGCGGCCAGGCAGAAGGCCAGGCCCTACAGCATTACAGCGGCGAACGCGCACACGTGGCACAGTGAGCCAAGCTGCGCGGCTTGGGGCAAACAAGCAACGCGGCGGCATGCAAGCAGCCAACGCCTGGGCGTGCAAAGTTGTGTCTGATGCAGACGCCACACTGCAGAGCACATGGGTGAGCTGCTGCGAGCGCTTGTTCTGGTGGCGCAAGCGCATTCATGCGCGCATACCTCGAGGACCAGGTGCACCCAGAGGCCCGCACTGCCCGCCTCGGTGACGCGGCCGGAGGGGCCCGTCCTGCGGGTGAGCGAAAGGTGACATCCCATTGCGCCAGCTCCACTTTTGAGGTGGCAGCGGCAGGCTCTTTCCGGACAGCGGCTCATGCAGGGCGTTTGCAAAACCACAGGCAAAGGCATGTTGGCCGGTGTCCCCTGATGCCACCGCTGTAGCCGTACCTGAGCACGCGGTCTGCAGACACCGCGCTCAGCACGTGCCATGCATGCGCCAGCAGCAAGCCCGTCGCGTGCCACAGCGCGGCGACTCCATACAGCAGCAGCAGGAAGAAGGCGCGGTAATTGCCGTGGCCCACGCAGTTGCCGGTCCTGCAAAGGGTCGGGTGAGGTCCGGGTGGTGCGGGCGGCCGAGGCAGAGGCGAGCAAGGTGCAGCTAGGCACAACGCGGGTGGGGCGCAGGGGGGGCCTGCACGGCGGCAGCAGGGGCGAGGCTCGCCCGGGAACAGCCCAGCCCCAGGAAAGGAGTCAGGCCATAGGGCGGGGCGCCCCCAGGCCATCTCGTCGGCTCACCAGGGGCAGTGGTGGTCCATCCGCAGCACGCATCTCTGGCAGACGCTGCAGTGGTGCGTCCGCGGCGGCTTGTGGACGCCGCACTTCTGGCAGAAACGCAGGCCCCCGTCCTGCGAGCCATGCAGGCGACGACATGGGGGCCGCCGCACGTCATTCACAAGCTTTTGATGGCCAACTCAGCCATTGCCACTGAGGCAGGTAGCGGAACAGGACGTGGTTGGTCAAGCGCAGTCAATCCTGGAGCCTTGACAGAGTCAACCGAGTCAAACCTGGGCGCCGCACCTTCTTCTTGACCTCCTGGAGCTTGGGGCCGTCCTCAGCGTCCGGCTGCCAGCCGGCAGGCACCCTGCATGAGCGATGCGAGGGCATCCAGGGGTGGAGGGGCGGCAGGATGGGCTTCCCCTGCCACACAGCATGAGCCATTTTGACTGGAATCGCTCGTTGATGGGCGCCCCAGCAACGCTGCTACCTCGAAGCAGCGCCTGGGCGCCACGTGCGGCGCCAGCAATCCGCTTGCTCCTTACGCTTAGTTGCTTCGCCGCACCTTCCAGGGTCGAAGAAGATGCACGCCACGAAGCACCAGAGCGCGAGAACCGTTGTGACCGTCAGCACCGCCAGGTTGGACATGCCAGGCACGCTCACACTCAACCATGGCAGGATCTGTGGCGTATGTGAGGGCGCAGATCTGCAGTGTGCCGCAATGCGATCTGTGATCAGGCAGCGCCATGCCTTTCTCGCCTGCAGCCAACGAGCGCCAAAGGTGGCGCGCCGCCGCCACGGCGATATCCCCTCACAGGAGTTGCCCGGGACATGTGTGCTCTGCGCGTCGCCACGCAGCAGCAGTGCCCTCGGCTCCGCCCATGGCGCGCCCCTAGCTCGCTGGGTGCCCGATGCGAGGTGCACCGCGCAGCTGCGCGCATAGCAGCACCCCGTTGCTTCCAGACAAAGTTGTCCAGTTTAAAGCCCACGCACCGCCCGACAACGCACGCTGTAGGCCCCTGCAACCCACCGCGCAGGTGACGCAGACCACATAGAGGTAGACAAAAGTGGACAGCACGCCCGCCACCGCCCAGTCCCACTTGAGGCCGCGCGCCCTGGCCGCGCTGCCAATCAGCGCCAGCGTCGCCGCAGACGCGAGCATCTCCTCCCCGACGCCACCGCTGCCGCCGTCGTTGCCGCCGCCGGGGCGGCCGGCCGGGCGGCGCCGGGCGCCCGGGCGGGGGTGGGGCGGCGGCGAGGGCGGCGCGCCGGGTGGCGCGCGCGCCGTCGCTCCCAGGACACCACACCAAACCGGGCAAGCTGCTGGCAGTTAGCTTGCAATGTCCCCAATAAGCCCAAAGTGGGTCTGTGGGTGCTGGGCGGCTGCCGCTGGAGTAGATACAACGAGCCAAAAGCGGTTGCTTGCAACTGGCACTGCTGCAGCAGCTCGAGCAGCAGCACACCTACTCCCACCACGTTGCGCCTCAGGTTTGAACGCGCCGTCGTGGAGGGCACGCTGCATGCACTTGTGCGGAAACACGTGTCAATTCCTCGATCAGTCCGGAAGATATCAAGGTCTGCACTTGGTGTCCCAGATCGCTGACAAATGAGGATCGGATTGTTCAATACACCTTGAAAAATGAGGCATCTATGCACTTTTGACTGGGGATTTCACATTCTCAGCAGGGTAACCAGTGATGATGTGGTCGATCTACTGATGAAACGCCGGCTTGCTCTCGTTTGGACCTCCGTACATTGATTTATCGGCGACGAACGATCAGATTCTTCTTATAGCAGGCGCCACACTCGCAGCGCCTCTTCGCAAAGGTGATACAGGGTGACGTTTTGGATGCGCACTTTCGCCCTTGGCGGGTTCAGCGGCCACAGCCATGACAGCAGCAGTATACTGGGCAGCTGGGGCGGCTGCCGGCATCGCTGATGGCTGCGTGCTCGCCGTCGAGGAACTGTTTCCGTGGCCTGGTGGCGCCGTGCTAGGGGCGTGCGGGATCGAGAGCCCGCGCTCGAAGAAGGCCCAGGTGCACATGGAGCACGGAATCTATTGTGTGCGTGTGCGCCTGTGAGGCCTCTCGGCCAGTCGCGGTGCTCGCTCGCGGTCCTGACCCGCCTGTCTCGCTGTGCTCACCAACTGGCACTGGTCCACTGGCCCGGACGCAGGGGCGGCGCGGCGGCGACCAGCAGCAGGCCAACGGCGCCACTGGTGAGCCGGAAGCCTGCTGCAGCTGCTCTTACATTGCCCTGGAATTGAAACGTATTGTTTGGACGTATGGACGTATAATTTCCCCTTACTTGCCATGGCTGTTGCACTGCCCTGCTTTGCACTGGTGCTGCAAGCACCTGTGTGCGCCACCACCACCCCGTCCCCCCCTTGCCCCCATCCCGCCCTCCGCCCCCGCCGCCCGTGCAACCCCCAGGCTCACCGGCCAAGAACCAGCTGTCTGTCACGGGCGACCGCGTGCTGTCCAAGGTTAACAGCTTCCCAGTCGATGATCTGGCAGACGACCTGGGTGCAGAGTCCGGCCCAGACGCCGGGGAGCCCAAGCCGCCACCCATCCCCTCGTTCCGGCCGTCGCCGTCGCCGCTGCGGCGCGGCGGCGCTGATGATGCGGCCGGGGCGCTCAAGGTGCCCAAGCTTAAGCTGCCCAAGTCACCGCCTGACGTGGCGGGCCGGCAGGTGGGCGAGGCGCGTGCTGAACAGCCGGCACTTTGCCGACCAAACATGCGACCGTGACGGTCACATGTCCAGCACAGGCGGCTCCTTTGTTGGGAGTATTTTGGGAGTCCAGCAGCCTGCCGCCTCTGCCCGTTGATTCCACCAGGGGTTGTTTTGAGCCCTCCACTCTCACGGCCTGGCGTGCGCCCCTTGTCGCATCGCATCGCCCGACCCTCCCACCCCAACCCCGTGCACAAACCAACTTGCAGGACACCACCGCCGCGGCCAGCGCCTCTGCATCCTCCTCCCTCGCGTCCCCGCCCCCGCCGGTCAGCGCCCGCCTGACGGAGCAGGCCGTGCACCCCATAAACGCGGCGTTCGAGGCGGCGCGGGGGCGCGGGGGCGGCGGCGGCGGCGCGGCGGACGAGCCGGACGCGCTCACGATTGCCACGACCAACCGCTACACTTACGGCCTGGGGCCTGGGCAGGTGCGGGCCCATCGGCGGGCGGGGGCATAGCGGTCAGGCGGGGCGCGATTGAGGGGCCCTGCCGTCGGGGCTGCATGGGTCATGGCCGAAAATGTTTGCAGCTGTAGCCCCTGGGGCAGCACGCCCTGCCCGCCCGGAAACCCCCTGCTTTTCGCACGCCCTGTGCCTGCCCCCTTGCAAGCGATCCTCTTTGACCGCCTGCCCCCTGTGGCTTCCCCCGTCGTCCCGCAGGCGGCCAGCACCCCGCGCAGCGACGCGGCGGCGAGCGAGGGCGGCGGCGAGCACAAGAAGCGCGGCGGCCTGTTCAGAGCCCTGAGGCGCAAGGGCGGCAGCAAGGCCAACCAGGCGCTGCGCTGATGTCACGACATCACTCGGCGACGCTTTTGGCCGGGGCCACCCAATCCAGCTTCAAAGCCCGTTGATGGTTGCTTTTGATTTGCACCCGTGCAATCAGCCTTGACAGTTGCTGCTCGCATCCGTAGCAAGCACACGGCCCCACACCATAGCGTTGCCGGTTGTCCGCCAGACAGCTTTATCTTCGCTTCTGGGTGCCAGGAGTTTGATGACCCCGCCCCGTGCCACGTTGCACCCGTGCTGCATCGTTAGCTCGACGGCATCGCCGCCCCTGCCGCCGCCTCTTGCCAGCCCCCCGTTTGCCAATGCGGTGCGGCGCGGCGAGCGCACGTCGCGCGTGGGCGGTGGTGACGTGGTTGCGCGGCAGAGACGTGCCACCTGCATTCCTGTCTTGTGGAGTAGCGCAGTTGATCAAACTTTGCTTGAATCAGGATTGTGAGTAGCGCAGTCCATCAAACTTTGCTTGAAGCAGGATTGCCACAGCACACCACCTCCCATCTGGAGCAAGATTCAGTCGCGATGTTGATCACACGCCCCGCTTCAGCAACAAAGTCAACCTGCACGCCTCCCTGTCGCTTTTCCCCTGTGTTGTCCCTGGTACCCCGATGCCCATGCCTGCTGCCCCGCCGCATACCCCTGCCTGAAAGGCTCAACAACCCAGGCCATGCCCGCCAGCGGGCTCGTTTGGCTAATCGAGGGTGAGGATGGGGCTACCCTTGGACCTGCGCTTTGCGCACGCTGAGCTCTCCACTCTACTGCTGGCCCTGTACGTACCCACATCACGCGCACGAGGGTCTGAGCCGCTGTACGCGCGTGTCGCGCCATTTCGCCCCGAACAACCCTTGTCCGTCTGCTGCGCCAGCTTTGCAGCGCGTTTGTGAGCGTATCACACTGTCGAGCTGTCTGTCTTTGTGAGGGCCGCGCATTGGTTGCAACGTGAGGACCAGCCTCTGTGACTTCGGTACGACAAGAACATTCCAAGCGGCCCCAGGGGGGGAGGCTTTGTGGGTGCAGCAGGGCAGGGCACGAATTTACTGGATGGGACAGGGTGGCCGCGGCGTGGCGTATTTGCAGCACTGGTTGCTTGAGTTCTGGTGCCCAGCGGTTCCGCTGTCGCCGGGGGATGGCGCAGCCATGCATCCAAAGCCGCGTACTCAGGAGGTGGCGGCGCCCATCCACCTGAAGAGACGCAACAAACAGGCACCAAGGGGACCAGGCCGGCTGGCACACATTGTTGTTGCTTTCAACCACTCATGCACAGACGCTGCATAACCCCTTCCGGATCAATCAAAGCCCATGTGCTGGCATGCGGTCAGACTCCACATTCATGTCTGAGCGAGGCTCATTATACATTACAATGAAGGTGGATGCAGTCAGATCGGCTTGTCGTAGTCAGAGGTGCGCGATTGGCAGGTTGACACCGAATGCAGTTAAGCAGGGGCGCCATCCAGCATGTCGCTGCTGCACCCAACTGCACCGCCGGCAAAAACAATCTGCGCGCGTCTGCCACGCCGCCCCCAGGGATTCGCGCGCAGCGCAGGGCCGTCGGTCACGCGTGCACCTCCAGAATCCTCAGCAGCCCCTCTTCCTTGAACTTGGCATACGCCTCCAACTCGCCCGGCCAAACCCTGACGTGCGCCGCGCCAGCCGCCGCCGCCGCCGCTGCCGCCGCCGCGCCCACTCCGTCGACGGTGCGGCTCGCAGAAGCGCATTCCGGGAGGCCGCCCCCCGGCCGGTGTCCGTTGTGCTGCGACGGCGGCGCGTCGCGCCCGTTTTTGGATGCATGCTCCTCAACCGCCAGCTCAGCGGCCTCGTCAGTCACCACCCCTTCCAGCACCTTCTCCACTGCTTCCCCCTCCCGGCCGCCGCCGCCGCCGCCCTCGCCGCCGCCGCTGCTCGCCGCCGCCGCCGCCGCCGCCGCCGCGCCCTCCGCCTCCACCTCCGCCGCCGCCGTAATACCGCCCGCCGCCGGCCACGGGCCGCCGGCGGCGTAGTGGGCGCGGCAGAACCTCACGGCGCACTCGCAGATCAGGCGCAGCGACGCCGCGGCACTGATGGGGTCCGGCTTGATGCCCATCACGGCCAGCACGCGGCGCGCCACCGCTGAGCCCTCGAGCAGCGCGGGGACGTCGCTGAAGGAGTGGTGCTTGGTGTGGGCAGGCACCACCAGCAGCGCGCCGCCGCCGCGGCCGCTGCCGCTGCCGTCGTCCCTGCGAGGAGGGGGGGGCCGGGGCGGGGGCGGGCAGGAGAGGGGCGTGAGTCGGCCGACTGACCAAACACTTATGGTTTCAAAACATCTGGTGCTTGATGACGGTCGTCACCCTATGCGTTCAGCAAGCACGTGCTCCGCGGGCAGCGCCGCTAAGGCACTGATTTGCGCTGTCCGGCAGCGCTGTCGGTCCCGTGTCCCGCCGCTGGCGCTGCGCAGCAGGCACAGCGCGGCCGCGACCGCGGCCGCACCGCGCCGCGCTGCGCCGCACCTGTGCCGCGCCGCCTCCAAAACGGCTTCCTGCCGCGGGCCGTTGCAGGGCAGGGACCCGTCGATGCCCTTTGGCGTGTTCCAGTCGTCGCTGCCTATGATCTGCAGCGGCGTGGTGCAGCCTGGGGCCCACTGCGTGAGGGCGGGGCTGCCCGAAGGCAGGATGGTCCACCTGGGATGTGAGTGATGTCAGGGAAGGGCAAGGCAGAGAGGTTTTAAAGGTTTGAGCAGGGGCGCGTGCATCAAGAGGGGGGGCAAAGGTTGCGCAGCCGCACAATGTGCACAAGCCGTGGCCGCTGATATGCCGATGAGAAAAATTGTGATCATGAGAAGTTGCAGAATCTGCTGGGGCTGGGCAGGCATGACGCCGGCGGGACCGCGCTCTGTCACAAGCCCCTGTACGCTACGCGCCATGCGCACCGCCAACCCCTCGCCCTCACCATGGGTCCATGGCTACCGCCGCCGCGAATTCTGGGTGCTGCGACGCCGCCAGCGCCGCGGTGGCGCCGCCGCAGGAGTGGCCCATGACCGTCAGCTTTGACAGGTCAAGGGCGCCCTGAGGGGGGTGAGGGGTGAGGGTCGGGGTCGGGAGGGCGTGGGGGGCGGTTATGGGACAGAGGTGGAGGGGCGGCACCTGAAGGGCAACGCAGGCGGAGCGGCGTCCAAAATTATGCTTCTAGGGCCGCAGGTGGGCTTAGTGCAGGGCGGGGCCTGGATCCGCAGCGACCGGCGCGCCTGTAATGCTGCCAACTGCCAGTGCCACTTGACAAACGCGTCGTCAGACACGCACTGACAGCGTCTTGGTGATGATTGTCACCCATAGCCGGCTGGCTGTGATGACCAAAATTATCAGGGGCGTGCAGGCGCCTAGCCCACAGAGTACCATACATGCTTGCCTTGTCCCCGCGTCACACCTTGAAGGACGCTTGGGCGCTGCCATCCTTGCCATCTCCACTCAGCACAAAAGAGCCCTCCGCCACAGAGCCCGCTGGGGTGTGCAAACGGGGATGGTGAGGCAAGGGAAAGGTCGAAAAGGCCCGGAAACGAACCCAAAATGGCTGCCGATGCACCGAATTGATCAGCCGCAGCGACAAGGCAACACAGGCAAAACGCTCTCGTCAAAGCAGATTTCACTACCCCCTCCTCAAGCACACGCCGCATGCCATCCCTGACTGCGACGAGCGCAGCCGCGCGGCGCAGATCAGCACCGACGCACCCTCATTCAGGCTCCGCATTATCTTGACTGCGCTCATAACCTCGGACACGCGATAGTGACACTTGGCCTCCAGCACCGGTCCCGTCCCCAGCCCAGCAAACAGCTTCCAGGTGCCGTCAGCTAGCAGGGCTGCGCCCTGCCGATTTGCAGTCGGGACAGGAGCGGGTTTGTCGGGGGCTGTGCAAGCGGCGGCGCGAGCGGCATGAAGCTCAAGGCACCTGCATGCATGGCTCGCCCTGTCCTGCCCAACCCAAAGCCGATTAGCGGGGTGCTACGAATGCCTTGAGCTCACAAAATCTCAGCTGGTGCTGCTCATGCTGACCAGAGCTTGCTGCATGCACCAACAGGGCCCCAAGATATCCAGAGCACATCCCAGGTAACACATACCCATCAGAAAAGTGCATCCCGTCGCACACCCACTCGCGGGCCCACACACACACGCACGCAAGCACGCATGCACGCACGCACACACACACACACACACAGGCACACGCGCACACCTCCCACCCACCGAGCTGCCGTCCGCATGCTCCACCGCCACCACCACGCAGCCGCGAGACGCGACCTCGGTGCACACGCTGCTGTAGGTGTTGCGATTCGCGGCGGCGCCAGGGCTGAAGATGACCAAGGGGAAGGGGTCAGAGCCGAGGAACGCCAAGGGGGCGTTGTACAGCACCGGCATGCGCGTCGCCGCGCCTGCATGGTTGCGGGCAAGTCAGGGCTGCGCTTGTTGGGCTGGGGTTGGCCGGGGTGGGGGAGGCATGGAGCGTCTGCAGTCAGAACAACCCGTTCAGCGGCCGCTGACGGGCAGCGGGTCGCGGCAGCAAGGGCAGCGCGCCGACGCCGCTGCGCTGCACTGTCAGAACCCGCATTCTGCAGAGGTGTCGCCTGCTGGCATGCTGTTCAGCATCCAAAAAGTGAATCCACCGGCCCTTTGATCGATCCGTTGCAACCGACTGATTAATAATTCACCCATGAGGCGCACCAGATGCCCATGCGGCGCCCTGCAGCACGTTTTTGGCGATCCGCCACTTGAGAGACTTGGCGCTGAAGAACGCAAACGTCACGTACCCTGGGCACCGGGCGGCGCGGCGCCAAGGCCGCGCGGAATCGTGCGCATGAGGGATCGGGCGGCGGGGCACCCAACCGCAGGCGCGCACAGGCGCGGCTGCAACTTATCCCTCCGGAATCCGGCGGCCTGGTGTTTGCCGCACTGTGCTTGTGGGTTCCCAAGTGTCGCTTGAGCGCCACTAAGCCCGCACGCCCCCCACCTTTGGCATACATCATGTCCTGAATCCAGTTGACAGACCCGCCCTTGGCCCCGGCGGCGGCCGGGTAGAACAGCCGCCCGGTCACATTCTGCGGGAACCGAGCGGGTCAGGGCTGTTACAAAGCAGGCGTGCGTGTGCTGGCTAGGGGCGGGGTGCAGCAAGCCCTGCACGCTGTGCGCTGGCAGTGCATAGGCAGCTGCCCAAAGGTGCATATGCTGCGAATGATGTCGGCGCGACACTTTTGTCGCCCAAACCAGCGCATGGGCCGGCAATCCTCCAGCTGTGCTCTCACGTTGTGTGCATCGATTGGAGCTGTGCCCAGCCGCCACGTAAAGTCGCGACAGCCGACAGCAAAGGGGCCTGTTGGCGGCAGCATCGGCGACCGCTGCAGCACGAGAGGCAGAGCTTAGGCGTCACACGATAACTCAACCACGACAAAGCTGCCCCTGCGCTGCGACTACGGAATTCAATTGTTGTGAAAGGCACATCAACTGCGCCTGTGTGAGCCCCGAGTCTCTCGCGGTCGTGGTGATTACGATTGAATTTTCCCGATCACGCTGCTGAAGGAGCACTGACCCAGCGCGTTTCCTTGCTTACTATCTTGATAATTGTGGCAAATCCCACTGGCAGCATACAAGGCGCGCAGATCAAAACGAGCTCATGTGGCTTTCGTTTTCCAGCGCCTGCATCAACAACCAAGTTTTGACTGACGCGGCTGTGCTGTGGATAGCTGCAAGCACTTCGGCTGTCTGCCACCGCGCTTAGGACAGGCGAGGGGGCCGAACAAACAGGCACATGCGCTGCATGGGTGCTGGCGCGGGGCACTGAGGCAGGACGAGAGCCATCGGGCTGGGGTTGCTGTGGTGTTGTCAAAGGCAGTGAAGGGGCCTGGAATCTCGTTTCATGAACACATAAAGGTAAGGTCGCATCCAGCAATGATGTTCAGTCAGGCCCCACTCCCGAACCCACTCCCGCCAAGCAAGTGCGCTGCTGGCGAGCAGGGCCGCCCGCTCAGGCCTCAACCTGCTCCCGCAGGCAGCTGATTGTCGCTGTGGACAGTGACTGACGAGGCGGTGCTGCGGGGTTGGGGGGAAGGGTCGCGGACGGATGAGGAGGCGTCCATACGAGCCGCAGCCCGGGCCGTGGGCTGCGCCAGGCCCCACGCCCGCGCAGGCGTGACGACGGGGCCTAGCAGCAAGTCAGCACGAGCAGGGGGCGGCGTCATAGCATGCCGCAGGCACGTCGCAGCATCATGCCCTGCGCGAGGTGCGGCCCAGGTCGGCGGCTCACGCCAGGACATAGTGTACGCGCCGCCGGCCACGGTCTTCTTGCAGGCTTTGCAGCCCCAGATGCCGACGGCAACATGATTCACGGCCAACTGAGACATGCAGCGCGGCGCGGTAAAGGAGGGAAGGAGGCGGGGTATTAGGCTGACATCGGCGGCGTCGCATGTTTTGGAGATGGCCGTGCTCGCCATGCAACCAGTGTCGCGCGTCCACGGGGCCGCTGCTGGGCGGACGCGCTCCTGTGGCCCACAGGTGACAAAGGTGTAGCTGCCCAGGGCGTGGGTGCCTGATGCCGCCCCTCAAGCAGGCGCCGCGTCTGCCTGCCGCTGCTGTAAGACCTTCAATCCTGCTCCTGTTGTGTGGGGCTACCGTAGTATACATCAGGCATCCATTGTTAACCAGTCCACCCCACCCCAGCACACTCCACTGCCCGTGGCCGAGCAGCTCTGCGCCCCAGCACTCCCGGGACCGAGGGCTTAGTTGCCTTCTTACTTGTCTGGCATGAATAATCTCATAAATGCCAAAAAGGCACTCGTGCGAACGGGGGGTAGCACAGTGTCGGCATCATAGGCAATACTTTGTATGAGTGGTGTTGAAAATCAGTGCGTGCAAAGATGCTGGTAAGGCAGGAGACCCTGAGAGCTTGTAGCGGCCGACCCTGACATAGGGCATGCGCCATGCCCAAATACCACAAGCAGCGGCCCCTCAGAAGCCGCGCCGCAAGGGTGCGTCCAGCAATCGTTGTGAGGCGGCAACAGTGCAGATTGAATTGAGAACAGGCCAAAGTGTTGCCCCAGAAACCACGCATAGAGTTCGCAAAAACGGTGGATGCTGCCGCATTCGCACATCCACCTGTGCCGTGCGCCGCTGCTGGCACTGGCTCAAGTGATCACAAAAAAGGTGGTGGACTGGAAATCCCAGGATTAACCAGGGCAGGCCACTGGCTAAAAGATCCAGGGGCAGCAGCACGCTGGCCGTTGCTGCTCAACCCCGCTGCCTGAGCTGCAACCTGGCGTCGCGCCTGCATGACGGCCTGGCAGTGCAAGGGAACGCAGGCGGGGGGCCCCACGCCGACACCTGTCCCTGGCAGGTCCCGAGGGATGGGGTGGGACTCCCCTCTGGGCGCAGCAAACTTCTGGACAGCCTTGAACTGGCAAGAGGAGGCCGCTGCACAGGAAACCCGCGCAGGGGCCCGCTGAGACAGCCAAACGCAGATCGGCCGAGGCAGCCAGAGGGACGTGTGGGGGAATGTGAGGATTGTGCCCGGCCACAGTGAGGGGCTGCGTGTGTGAGGAGGGACGCCACGTCAGGGCGGCGTTCCAACCGACAGATATTTGGGGCGAGAGTGTCAGGACGAGAGCAAAAGAGTGCGAGCAAAGGGGGAGAGGAGGCTGGTGGCCGCGCTGGACGCCGCGGCGGCTGCACCCAAGACGAATGTATCACAAGCATGCGCGCAGCTGGGCGAGGCAGCAGCCCGGCAAGCCTTTCCAACGAGGGATGCCGGCGTGTGTCCAGGCTGGCCTGTGTGACGCGCCGCGCCCCGGTCGCAAAGGACGGGGGTGACATTCATGTGCGTGCACGCCATGTGTGCCTGGATGCAACGCCGGGGAATCGGGGTCAGTGCCAGCCAGCAGAGGTATGGACATGGGAGCGACGTCAACCCTGGCTTGCCTGACCTCAAGCCGAGGCCTCGAGCCGGGTGTCTCAGGATTGCCGGCCGCAGCGTAAAGTTCGGCCATCCTGCCCCTGCAGTGCACGAGTCGTTCACATGACTAGAGGAGGCCGCCAGCCCGACAGACACGGCGCCTCATGCGCGCGCCGGCCAAGCCTGAAGGGTGGCAATTCAGGCCTCGTTCCGAGCGGGGAAAGGTCGCCGCCACAGTTGGCGGGCGTAAAGCAGGGACGGCGCAGCCTTAGGCAGCACAGACAGTTCTGCGGCCCGTGCAGGCCAAAATGCGGCAGCAGTGAGGACATCAACGCGGGTCGGAGCTACGTCAGGTCTTTCCAAGCCGGCGCGATACGCGCGTGAAATGCCTGCGGCCTGGCCGCGCGCCCGCAGACGCCCACGAGGCCCGCGCAGTACTCAACTGGGGCTGCGCACGGGCGCACGCGCCACTTCCGGCGCGGAGACATCGCAAGGGCGTGTCGCGAGGGGGGCACTAGGCCCCTTGGACCAATCATATATCCGCCGTGCGCCTTGCCTGCGCCAAAGCAAGCAGCGCTGATACCGCGTGCCGCTGCGCGTTGGCACGCTGTTTTTGTTCATTGCAATGGAAAAAATGTGTGTGCTGGTGTGTAAATCCTGCCCTTGCAAAAGCTGCGCCGAATTGGCGCAGGCGTAGCCCCCGCACGTTGCGGATGTGTGGGCAAATTGAAGCTGCTTCACAAAGCTGGGGACTGCAGCCCTGTGGACCCCTCGGCCGCTGTGCAGGCTTGAGTTCCCATCACTTTGGGAGGGGGGGGGGGTTCACCACAAAACAACGCATCGGGCTGCGCCCAGCTGATTGCGAGGCAAGGTGTCCAATGGCGTTGAGATGACGAGCAATCCCTGCACCGCAGGACGTTGCACCTCGGCCACCGCCGCCGCCGCTGCCCCCATGCGGCGCTCCTGCAGTCAACTGCGCTGCCGCTTACTCAAGAACTGTCCAGTCTGCAGGCGCCGCCTGGCGCAGCAGCGCCGCAGCCAGAGCCGCGACCCCCGCCGGCGCCATCGCGCGGGCGCTCGCCCCGCCAGCCGGCGGCTCCACACAGGGCACGACCCTGAGCCGCCCAGAGCCGGCGTTGAAGAGCGTGCCTTGGCCAACGAGCCGCAGGCGCGCGCCGCGCAGCAGCCCGGCGGCCGCCGCCGCGGCGGCCGCCTCGGCGCGCGTCTCTGCAAGAAGCTGCTCGGCGCCGCAGCCGCCGCCGCGCGAGCGCAGCAGCAGCTTGCTGCGGGCGCGGCCACCCCCGTCGTCGGACGCCCGAATCAGAACGAACGCGTCTCTGCACACGGATGACCAGTCCATTCGCGCCGCGGGCAGCAGCGTCCCGACCCACCCGCGCTCGGCGCGCGCGCCGTCGGGCGCTGCAGCGGCGCGAACGCTGGCGGCCGCGGCGGCCTCGCGCCGCTGCGCGGCGCCAAGCTGCTGCAGCGCGGCGTGCGCGCGCTGCGCCTCTGCTACCAGCTGCCTGTGCATCTCGCCTCCGCTGAACACGCGCGGCAGCGCGACGCCGCACCCGCCCTCTGGGGGACCACTGCCTGCCAGGCTGCTGGCGCCGCTCCTGCAGCTATCGCGGCTGCCCCCGCCGCCGCGTTGCAGGCGCGGCGCGCGCTGCGGCGGCGAAGGCGGGTGTAGCGACTCGAGCGCCACGGTTGCCGCCGTCGGCGCAGGGCCCCCGAGGCCGATGCGGCTGACGGCTGACGGGCCGTTCGTGGCGAGGGAGACGGTGGCGGCGGCGCCGTGCGCAGAGAGGAAGGCCAGGGGGTCTGGCGAGTCGTCCAATTGGTCCATAGGGTGCACATGACGCGCGCGCCGCCACTTGTGGGCGAAGCGGTACCGCCATGCGAGCACGTCAGCCGCAGCGTCGCCTGTGCGTGCGGCGGCGGCGCCGGCGGCCGCGGCGGCGCTGCTGGGCAGCTCGCCGTCCAGCCACGCCGAGGCGCCACCCTCGGCACCAGCAAGCGCAGCAGCGTCCGGCGTCACGTTGAGAGCGGACCAGGCCGGCGGCGTGCACGTTGCTGCTGGGTCGTGTGGGTGCGGCGGTGAGGGGCTGCAGGGCTCTGGCGTCGACGGGAGCACGCCGTGCGTGCAGCCGGCTTGGGCCGAGCCGGACGGCGCCGCGTTTTGCTGCTCCTGCGCTTGCTCGTGCTGGTGCTTGAGCCCAACCTTGTTAGGCGGCCAATGGGCGTCAGAAGGGTGCCCAAGCTCCGCCAGCGGCCGCGACGGCGCGCACGCATCCTGCGCGCCGTCGCGTTGCTGCGGCGCGCAGCAAAACGCGCTGCTCCATGCCACGCGCCCCGGCTGCTGCTCCAGGGGCCCGCCGGGTGCGGCCGCGGCGCCGCCGGCGAGGGCGGAGGGCGGCGCGGGGTCGCTCAGGGCGTAGCCGCGTGCGCACAGGGCGCCGCCAGAGGGGCTCGAGCCGGCAGTGAGCGTCTCATCTTGCTGCCGGGCGGTGGGGGCGCTGAAGCTCGTCTCCTTGAAGGCTGGGGGCGGGCGGAAACGGGCAGGGAGGGGAACAGCGCGGGGCGTGTGAACTGCGTCCTTGTGGGTGCAGGGACGCAACGCGGCCGCTTGCCCTGCGAACCAGTGAGGACGCAAGCCCCGCTACGATTCGAGTTGAGCTTGCCAGTGACGCACCTGCCAAGAGCGCTGCCCTTCCCAGAGGGACGGCCACCTTGCCACACGATGGGGGGAAGGCAGCCGCTGAGGTCTCCGCGGTCGGGCACGCAGGATGCCTGGGGTCTGGGCTTGCGCAGCCGCTGTTTGCGACACTCGTGCTGACTGACGTGAAGCTCAGGCTATCCAGCCATTTGATGAGCGGTGGTGGGCTGGACTTGGCCTCGGGCGCGGCGGCAGCCTCGCAGGCGCGCGCCTTACACATCGGCTGCGTCTCCGGCGGCGCGCTCACGACGCGACTGCTGACGGTGCACCGCCTGGCGAAAGCCCAGATGGGAGCCATCACTGCGGGACAGCGTGACGTTGTAATTGATTGAATGAGATGGCAGAAGGCGCGGCTCCTGAGCGGGCATGTGGCGCATGTGCTGCCCACGCTGCATGCGTTGGGCGCGGAGCCGTGCAGATATCACGCTTGAGTGTACCCAGCCACAGCCGCACCTTCCAGTGCACTGGGTACGCTCTGAGCTACAATAACGTCCTCCTCTGCAATCGATTCGGTTGTGCTGGCGACGCTCCAGTCGAGCGACCGCCTCTCGCCGTAGCCCGCAGACATACCCTGGCCGCCATGCTTAGCGTCCTGGACATATGCCTGAGGACCAAACCTGGCCGTCGAAAGGCGTGGAGGAGGGTCAGTGTCCCCGCATTGGCTCACGTGGCCTCCTTAAACAGTGCCGAGCGCCTGAGACCTCGACGGCCCGAGTGAGGGAATCAAGACGATCGTGCTCCGATTGCACTCACCAAAGGTATCCGAAGAGCTCCTCACAATCCATCAGAGCGCGGCTTGCCTCATCTGAGGTCCATGCGGTTCAAGTGAAAGGGTGTGTCTGGAATTGCTCGGAATGGAAAAATGCGCCTGAAGCAATGTGCACAGGGCTGCGCCGGTGTTGGGCGCTTTCAGCTGGACAATTGCACCCATGTGGAACACCTGCAGCCACGTGGCCTGAGTGATGGCGGCTGGCATTCCTGTCACAACCTGCACGTATTGTAGGGCGGCCATATCGTGTTCAGTCAGGTATGAAAGTTGCCTGGTGGCAACATGCGTCGAAAAATGTGGAGCAGCGGCGTAGGCAGCTGCTCTGATCGTGCATTGGCACAGGAGGCGAGTTGGCACCTTTAATGGCTCTGCAGTGGGCCCAGGTCTTCCCGTGTGTTTCAGTCAATTACATTTTCCATAGTCACACCACCGTGCCAGGTGTCAGCCAATATGCCCGTACCAAGACAAGGAATGCACCAGTGACTTATTTGGGCCATGGTGATGCTTCCTTTCCACCTAAATTCGTCTCTGTGACTGAAGTTTGTTGTGTCTTTTCAGTGCAATCTGATTGCTCAATCTACATGCGTACCACTGACCTGGCTGCGTGTCACTACTTGCTGCAGCGAAACCTCACACATAAGGTAGCCAGCGCAACACAGATGCATGTCTCTCAGAAATGTTACAGCGCTCAGGAAGCCAGGACGGTCCCGCGGCCCTGTCTAGGGGGTAAACTTGGTGGCGAACGCCCAGGCGTTGTTAGTGGCGGGCGAGGCCAGGTGGCTGTCCAGGTTGGCGATGGGGCCGGCGCCGGTCACGATGGCCTGCACGAAGAAGCCGAACATGGAGAACATGGCCAGGCGGCCGTTCTTGATCTCCTTCACCTTGAGCTCAGCAAAGGTGTCGGGGTCGTCAGCCAGGCCCAGGGGGTCGAAGCTCTCGCCGGGGTACAGGGGGTCCAGGCCCTCACCGGCCGGGCCACCGTTCACGCGGTAGCCCTCGATGAGGCCCATGAGGATGACCTGGGCAGGGGGACAGGGGGGGTGCCCAGGAGCACACATGTCAGGCAGCCAGCAAAAGCAACGGTGCTGTGCTGAGCACACTCCGTCACGGCGGTGAGATGCTGGCGATGGAGCACACCCGTCGCATGCGCTTTGTCCTCCGCCATGCAGGCTGCGTTCTCACCTGGACGGCCAGGGTGGCCAGGATGGACTGGGCGTGGATCAGGCTGGGGTTGCCCAGGTAGTCGAGGCCGCCATCGGCGAAGATGGCGCCGCCAGCCTTGTACCACACGCCGCCGGCGGGGATGCTGGGGTTGGACTTGGCCAGCAGCTCGGGGACGACGCTGCCCAGGGCGCCGAGCATGGCCCAGCGGGCGTGGATCAGCTCCAGCTCGCGGTAGCGCCGGAAGGTCTCGGGGTCTGTAGGGGGAGCAGGCGGTGGGGTAGGGGGAACAATGTTCGGGCGGGCGTTGGGTCAGTGTGAGGTCAGGCGGGGCCGTCCAGGTGAAGCAACATGAGCGGCGTGCCAAATTGCGTCTGTCGAATGATGCAAGCTGCTTGCGGGCAATATTGATTTAGCCGTGGCGCGACAGTCGTCCCTTGGAGGCGGCGCGTGACTCACCAGCCGAGAGGCCGGCGGTGTCCCAGCCGTAGTCGCCGGGGAACTCGCCGGTGAGGTAGGCCGGGGTGGAGCCGTTGTACGGGCCCAGGAAGGTGGGCCTGTCGGGGCCGTACCAGGACAGGGTCTTGGCGGGGGCGGCCTTCTTGGTGGTGCCCTGTGGGGGGTCGGGTGTGGGGGGTGGGGTGGGGGAGGGCACACCGGGCGTGCGTCAGGCAGGTGTGTGAGTAGATACAACTTCATGTCAGGCACTCGGGATGTCCATGCTTGCAGGCGCCTGGCGGCTGTGCTACCTAGCTAGGCTGCTGGCCCACCTTCTTGGTCGACTTGGCGGTCGCACCCTTCTTGGTGGACTTGGCCTGGACGCTCACGCTGTGAGGTGGGTTGGTGGGTGTTGTGGAGGGGGCAGGTGTGACGTGCGTCACCAGTGGACCAACCCTAGCCTCATTGCTGCTGCGTGGGCCGACGCCTCAACTGCAGCCTGCCTGCTGCCACACTCCCCAGGTGCCGTCAGGCACAGGGCAGCGCAAGAGGGGTTGTGGTGGAGTGAGGTGGCGCCAGCAACCCTGCCTCTGCAGCACTGGTGGCCAGTGAGTACACTGGCCACCACAGGCCTGGAGGCCCGGCTACAAACACTCTGACACGATCTGGCCCTGATGGCGTCCGTGCTGCACCACAGGCCGGAAACTGGGTGCGTTGGGTCTCGATCTCGGGGCTGGCCCCGAGTCGCAGCAGGGTGCGCAGGCTGCTCGAGCACACAGAAACGCTGCGTAGGGACGTCCAAGACTGCCACCTGCCACGGCAGCTGGTGTCGCTGCTCCCAGACCGTCCGAGCACCCGCCAGGCGCGTGCACCGTGCACAGCCGCGCAGGCGATCCAGCAGGATCCAGCAGCTGTACCAGACTTAGATCACCACTATGATCATTTCCAGCCCTCATACCCGCCCACCTGAGCGCGCGGGAGCTCTGGAGCATCATCTTGCTTGAGGTGTCGGGGTGAAGAAAGGAGGAGGAGGTGTTTGGTTGTCTGGAGGAAGCAAAATGTGCTGGCACCAGCAGCGCGGGGCGGGCTCTTATGCGCGAGTAACTGTGCATTGATCCCGAAGCCGTGCGGACGAAATCAAACGTCCCACTCTCTGTCTCAACACCGGGGGGCTGATCGATGTACTTTTTATTCTAAACATTTTGCACTGGAAGCCTGGGGTTGCTCTGCAGGTTGGCGATCCCGGTGACCCCGTGACCCATGACAGTATCATGCCATTGCCTGCGGATTGAGTGGCCGGCTTTCGGGGCTTCGCAGGCCGCAACTCTCGGTTGCTTTTGGTGCACCCCGCAAAGCTTTTTGACCAAAGTATGGGTCACTACTTCCATTGACCCGCCGCAATGTGGCCTGGCATGCATTTGGTTGCTTACAACCGCCGAGGGGTGCCGTCGACCGCGCTGCCCAATCGTCCAGCGCCCAACCCCGGCCCCATGAGCGGCAGCTTGGGCACCGCGCTGCCCCCGCTGCCTCCGCCCGGCGGTGCGCTGGGGGGCCGGCTGGTCCCACTGCCGCCATGGCCGCTGTCCCACCGCTGCAGCTGCTCGCCAAAGCCGCCGCCACCCCCACCCGCTTGTGGCACCAGTGTCGGCTGCCGCAGCCGCTCCCTCTCAGTGCTGCCCCCGCTGCCGCCGCCAACCCCGCCGCCGCCGTTGCCGCTGCCCCCCCTGGCACCGCTCTCAAAGGCCCCCGGCGCCGCGGCAGCCGAGCGGGCGCCGGCCCGCGGGGTCCCCAGGCGGCTGCCGAGTCGAGGGGTGAGGCGTGCGCTGCGGGGCGTTGACCCCGCGCTGCCTGCCACCTGGCCGGCATCCACCAGGGCTCCGTGCTGCGGCGAAAGCAAGCAGGGGAGGCCGCGTCAAAGGTGGCGTGGGCGCGACCCGCTGCCTAAGAGCAGGGCGGTGCGTCCGGCGAAGCAGACACTGGTGCCGGTCACATGGCAGGGACCACACCCCGACTAGGAGCAACAACCAACGCTGATTTGGTCACCCGATAACCATACGCAAGTCAGGTTCCAACACTTTGTGTTACCGGGTCACCCGCCCTCTCTAGAGGCCTGCACTCGTGCAGCACCTGGCGCGGCGCCAACCGCCCGCACCTGGGAGTAGAAGACCAGCAGACGCCTGTACAGCCGCCATGCGTCGCCCGCCGACGCCCGCGCCACCAGCGCGTCGTCCAGCTTCCGCGCAGCTGCCCCCAGCGCCGCACAATCGGCGGCCAGCTCGGGGGTCTTCTGGGCCGCGGACCTCAGCGCCTCCTGCAGCGGCGCGCGCACCGCACGCCACGACTCCCCGAGCAGCCTGCGTGCGCAGTGTAGGCGCGCGGGCGACGTCGTGCAGAGCGCTGCTGTGACCATAGATCTTGCATGCCAGGCGCTCGTGGGCTTGCAACTCAACCCCATTTTAAGAACCAGTACTGGCACGTCTGGCGGCGAATTGCAAACCAACCACGTTATGCAACAGTTTCATGCCATGCAACACAGAGCATCAGCATTGAACGGCCTGCATTGTGAGGACCTGGCAGCAGCAGGTGCGGATGACTAACCTGAAATCGTCGTAAGGCGGCCGCCGCGCGACCGCGGGGTGACGCCGCTGGTGCGCGTCGCAGCCGGCGAGACCGGCGTCCAGCAGCGCGCGCGCCGCGCCCGCGGGTGCAGCGGCGCGCGCGTCGGCGCCGCTGCATCGCAGGGCGGAGAGGAACAGGCGGTCGAGGGAATCTTCGGAGAGCCCCGCCGCCGCAGAGGGGCTGACCTGAGGGTTGCGAGAGGAGGGAAGGGGGTCGTGCGGGCAAGCTGGGGGTTTGGTACCAGGTTGGCACTGGCCGGTTAGTGCGGGCGCATGCACCACATGCATCACCAGGAGACAGCGCGGGCGCTGCGCAAGCCCACTGCGCATTCACGGATGCATACGTCGACACATGCGCCGTGCAAAAGACGGGTGCCTCATGCAAGCCCAGCAACCGCATCATGACCCGCTGCATCGCGCAGTTCGCAGGCGTGGGGCGTCACACCCCATGGGGACCCACACTTTTCCCCCTTGCTGCTGAAAAAGCATGATGTACTGCAATGCAGGCGCGGCGCAGCACGCGGGGGTCGGCGCACCTGCTGCACCAACTTGAGCAGGTCGTCTTGGCAGTGCAGCTGCTGCCCAGGCTGGTCGGTGGCGCGCGACGCCATTGCCTGCGCGGGTGGCATCCAAGGGCGCGTGCGATGCGCAGGGTGGACGCGTCGGGGGTTTGCAGAAACAAGTGCTGCCACTGTGCAATCTAACTTTGCCTCGGCCTGGGCGCTGACAAGCACACATCTTGTGCATTTGGCGCAAGTGAGCGCATAAAACAGCACATGGGTCGATCCATTGGCGGCGGTACAGGTCCAACAGAGCACCGCCGGATGGAGACATTCGCCCCCCATCCCACCTCAATCTGCGCCGCGTCGGCAGCGCGCTGCGCCTCCAGCGCCTCAAGCAGCAGCAGCGCCGCCTCGTCAGCGTCCACCGCGCCCTCCTCGCCGTTTCCGCTCGCTGCGGCCGCTGCCAGCCGCGCCGCCAGGCCGGCGCTCTCCGGCGCCGGCGCCGCGAGCGCGGGGCGCAGCAGCGGCGCGGCCAGCTGGGCGGCGGTGCGGGCGATGATCTGCGGAGGGTTGCCGGCAGGCACGGGCGCACGCTTGATGCTCCGCACTGCGGTACAGACGGGTCTCCTGAGTCAAGGTGGCTGACTGACACTTTGAACACATTTATCCCCGACCTCTCCGACTTGCACCGCCAGAACGCGTGTACCCCCGACGCGCAGGCAGAAACGGCGCACCCACCTTGCTGCCACCCTCGGTCGCCTCCGTTACCAGCGGGCCGCACTCCGAGTGGAGCCAAGCCATGAAGTGCACGACCGCCGCCGCCGCAGCCGGCGACGCGGGGGCGCCGGGGACCCCCGGCAGGCTGAGAAGGCGGCCGAACAGCGCCGCGCGCCGCGAGCGGGGCGCGTGCTTGCGGACGGCCGCGACGAGCGCAGAAAGGTGGGCGTCGGCGGGGCCGCGGGGCCCAAACCTGCCGAATGACGGGCGCGTAACTTCAGGTGGTGTGGACTTTGCAAGGTTGTGGCAATGTAGGTGTAAACAAGCAATCGTTTAATTTACGTCGACCATCACGATCTCAATGTGTGGCGTGCTGCACGCTGCTGGGTCCTTGCAAGGCGCGCCACAAGCGCGGGCTGCTGCGCCGCCCCGCCGCCCTTGGTGCGCTGCCTGCGGTGTCAACCGGAGAGCAACCCGCCTCTAACCTCATGCAATAACGCGATCGAGCGGAGCTCACCTGGAAGCAAAGTAGTCTGCGACGACGGCCTCCAGGTCTGGCCTGAAGGGGCTCGCGCCGCCGCCGCTGCCGCTCTGGGCGTCCGCGCGGCCGTCCGCGGCGATCTTCTCCCAGTAGACCTCGGAGATCACGAGGTTCAGGGTGTCCGAGGAAAACGACAGGCCGGGGATTGCGGGCGCCGGGGCGAAGGACAGCGATGGGCGGTTGCAGCCTGGGTGCGTGGGGTTGGGAGCGGTGCGGTCACATGCGGTGCATGGGGCAGATTTTGAGGCATGTGGCCTTGTCCAGTTGATTAACCCTGGTGTCACACTTTCCCCTTGGGGCTCGGAGCCCCTACGGCTGGTTGCCCCCGGGGGGCCGCCCCC